AGGGTTTCCAAGGCTGTAAATCATTACAGAAGCAGAAAGCCTCATCTTTCTCCCGCGGAACAGCTGGTAGTTTCGAACTGCTGACCTTGCGGTTTGCAGCCCGATTCGTAACCATTACGCTACCAGAGCTCTGGAATATTAGAATTCAGTAAATGGTCATCATTGCCTCTATCTCCCTTATAGTTCTATCAGCTAAAGCCTTTCCAGGAGGAATAACTAGTATAAAAGTCAGAGGGGATAGAAGTTTCTCAGAAAAATAAAAAATAGTTTAGCATAAGCAGATATGAGATTATTATGAATCAAAATCTGAAACATCAGAGTCCAGCCCCATTTATACCCATTGAATATTAGGATAAATTATTTTAAATTACAATAACTGGAATCAAGAGCCCTAAGTCCAAACCACATTACAGAAGTTACTGGCTTTGTGATTTGGGGCAAACCACATAGCTTATTTTAAAGTCTATAATAGTGAAGTGTTTGGATTCATTTTTCATGCCCCATTAGTGGTTTGCTGATCATAAAGAATGTGGGATTTTAAATTTTTTAAATTATCTTCTATGTTAAAGTAGTTAAAAGACTTAATTTCAGAAAAGCTTTTAAGAAGCATCATTTTGTAGCAGTAGAAAAATTAGTGTGTGTTTCTTAGGATGTAAAGTGGGATAATGAGACCTAAGCCTAAATCCAAAACCTCAAAATTAAACAGTTAATTATAAATCAACTCAAAAAAGCTATTTGATTGTTCAAAATTAGCTTAATCAGTACCATATAGTTAGTTGTTAGTCACTCAAAATGGTAATTTTTTACATCATCTATAATATTGTATTTTAAAATACTGTATAATTTTAAATCATCTTAAAATTGTTATTGAAGTCACAGTAAGTTTAGGAAATACTGAATAGTTCCTAGTATTTGATTCATTGGAAATTAATTTTTCACATTTTAGCATTTACCTGCCCTTCTATAAAACCTTTCAATAATTAAATAGCTTTAGATATCATTTTATTAATATAGAGCTGTTCTTTTCTCTCTTATAGTCTCTTACATGAACAAGTCTCACAGTGCTAATGAGTACCATAATGTTCAATCTGTGGATAATGTATGTTGGCCTGCTCCCAGCCAGATCCCTCCTGTGTCCACACCAGTGACTGAACTTTCTCGAATTTGTTCCCTTGTTGGAATGCCACAACCAGATTTCTCCTTTCTTCGAACACCACAGGCATGTTATACTACTGTCCCATTTGTATAATTTCTTTTAACAGTGAGCTTAAGTAAATTGACTAAAAATCTTTAAGTAGAGAAAGTATGATGAATGGGGCTGGGGTTTTGGTATTATTTACTCTATGATTCTGGATGGTCCATTTGTACATAACCACAGCTCTCAAAGAGGCTGAAGGTGAGGACCCTGGGCAGCAGGTATGACTGGCAAGATTCTTCAGACTGATAGAGACAGGCATCTTGATCTATAGCAGCAGTTCTCTAACTTTTTAGTCTCAGAACTACTAAAGAATTATAGAATCTCAATTTTATTTTTGTGAAAATTCATAAGATTTTATATTAAAATCCTCCATATATACCATTTTAGGAATTAAAGCTGATAGTATTTAATGTTTATTAATTAATTTTTAATTAAAAGTAAATATTTTGAAAATTAGAAAAATAGCACTGCTTTACATTTTTACAAATCTTTTTCATTTTTGTTTTAATAAAAGAAGCTAGATTCTCAGATCTGCTTCTATATTCAATCTCTTGTAATGTGTTGTTTTGGTTGATATAGATGAAGAACATCTGTCCTCACCCAGATAGATAGTTGAGCAAGGCAGGAAAAAGGCAATATAATAATAGCTTTTTCAGATAATTGTGGATGTTCCTTGATATTTCTTTAAAACTTGGAAAGTAGTATTTTCTTAAAGGTTGATTACAATGTGGAATCTGAAACTATATTAGTGAATTTTTTATACTCAAATGAGAAAGAAAAGTGGCAAATAGTATTTTAATATTATTATGAAAATTATTTTGACCTTAAAATGCTCCTGGAAACTGGCTTAGGGATGCCTAGATTATATTTTAGCAGTCACTAACTACACAAAGTTTATTTTACCTTCTTTACATGTGTAAGTTCTTGATACTCTAGCCTAAAGCAAAAGGCAGGATTAAACTGATGGTATTGCATAGGTTGCTAACTTTTTTGGCACAGGGGAGAATTATTTTATTAAGAATCTTTTTGTTACAGGAAAAAAAAATTAGTGTAATTTAGATGTGAAAATATCATCAATAGTCAGACCCTTTGAGTCTTAGATTTTGGAAATTAATTCATATTCAAAACAGTATCTTTTAATTACTGGATGGTATAAAGCAGGAATCAGCAAACTTTTTCTGTAATTCGATGCCATCTAGTCAGTTCCAACTCATAGCTACCCTTTTTAGGGTTTCTGAGAAGCAGCTGGTGGGTTTGAAACACTGACCTTGCGTTATCAGTCCAGTGTTTATTCTACAGCACCACACCAGGACTCCAGATGACATGGCCTAGATAGTTAATAGTTTGGGTTTTTCAGGAAATCTGGTCATTGTTGCATCTCCTCAGCGCTGATGTTGTAATATAAAAGCAGCCAGAGACAATATGGAAAATAATGGGCGTGGCTTTGTTCCAATAAACCTATTTACAAAAACAGATGGTAAGTCTTATCACAACCTTAGTTTAAAGAAAAAATTGTTGGCTTTCATTTGCATACGAATGTTTGACCCTTCAACCAGTTTAGGGAGTCATTTATTTTGTAAATATTGAAATTTTGCATGATAACCTAAAATATATTTGAATTCTTTTTTACAGAGTGCTGTCAACTTCCTAAGCAAATAATTTCATAGATATTCATTTTCTCTTTCTTAGACAATGACAGTCTGCCAGGTAAAATTATCTAATGGTTTACTGGTACATGGACCACAGTGTCCCTCTGAAAATGAAGCCAAGGAGAGAGCTGCACTTTTTGCTTTGCAACAATTGGTAAGAATTTCCTATGACTTCTATAGTACATTTTAAATTAGTCTGTTTGAAATGTTTTTGTTGCATTGTCTTAAAACTTTTAAAACTTCCATAGAGCTCATTGGGAGTGAATTTCTCTGTGCCTCTACCAATATTTCCAAATTATCCTCCTGCTGTACCACCTGGAACCATTCCTCCAGTTTTTCCCCAACCTGCCGGTAAGATGTTTTGCTTTTCTAAATATCTGTCATTGAGTTATTATTTTTATAAGATTCTTCTAAAGCATCTGGAGGCAACCAAAATTCACCTATATTTCTGGGAATGTGCATGCAAATTGTGAGACACCAACCTGAAGCCAGAGCCTGTAGATTCATGTGAAAATACCATTCTGCTTGTACAGCCTCCAGTCTAACTAGAGTACAAGAGTTCTTAAAGGAAAAAAATCTCTAAAATGAGAGAGACCAAAATGAAAATAAATTTTTAAAAACCAAGAAGCATAGATGAGGTAGGAAATAAGAAAACTTCAAAGGCAACTATAATTAATATCTTCAAATAAAACAGCATTTCAACCAAATAGTAAGAACAAGATCTGTTAAAAAAAGAAGAAAAAGAATTGAACACATATTAACAAGTATTAAAATCCAGTCATAATTTTAAAATTCAATAGATAATGCACTGGCAAAGCCAAGGAAATCTCAGGAAGAACAAGATAAAAGCTGAAAAATAGGAAAGAAAAAAGATTTAAAAGAACAGTGCAGAGTTCCAACACAGATCTAATGGCAGTTCCAGAAAAAAGGGGCCAGAGATAATGGAAAGGAGGAAGGTATCAACAAAATTATATTTTAAAAGTTTCCCAAAACTAAATCCATCTCTAAATTTAAAGGACCTACTGGTGTGGTGCTATGGGTTAATGCACTGGACTGCATAGTCTGTTTGAACTGCAAGGTCAGGGGTTCGGGCTCACCATCCACTCCTATACAGGCTCACTGTGGGTCAGAACCAGCACTTTAACAACAGCAACCAAATTATTAGCATAATGAATGGTTTTGATTGCTGTCAAACTGAAAATACCTGTGATAAAGAAGGAATCTTCTAATACAACTGCTGTTGTATTGATTCTGAACCATGGTGATTCCACATGTGACAGAGTAGAACTGTAGTCTATAGGGTTTTCATTAGCTAGCTTTTAGAAATTAGATTGCCAGACTTTCTCTGAAGGCACCTATTGGTGGACTCAAACGTTCAACCTTTTGGTTAGCAGCTGAGTGTGTTAACCTCTGCACCACCCAAGGACTTCTAAGAGAAAGTGCACTAGAGATAAATTTTCATATCTGAAAATGTCTTTATTTTACCTTTGGACTAGACTTGTAGTTTGGCTATATAGAGAAATCTGTTGTTGAGCGGTTCAGTTGGTTCCAACCCATAGCAACCCTATGTACAATAGAATGAAACACTGCCTGGTCCCAGACCATCCTAATAATTGCAGCTATGCTTAAGCCCGTTACTGTTGCCACTGTGCAAATCCATCTTGTTTGGGGGTTTCCCACTTTTTCTGTGACTCCCCTCTTTACCAAGCATGATGTCCTGCTCCAGGGTCTGGTCCCTCCTGATAATATGTCTGAAGTATGAGAGGCAAAATCTTGCCATCCTGGCTTCTAAGAAGCATTCTGGCTATACTTCTTCCAACACAGACTTGATTGTTCTTCTGGCACTCCATGACACCCTCAATATTCATCTCCAGCACCATTACTCGAATACATCAATGCTTCCACAGTCTTCCTTTTTTCATTATCCAACTCTCACATGCATATGAGGCTATTGAAAATAACATGACTTGGGTCAGGCACGCCACAGTTCTCAAACAGACATCTTAGCTTTGAACACTTTAAAGAGGTCTTGTGCTGCTAATGTGCCTAATGCAATATATTGTTTGATTGCTTGACTGCTGCTTCTTGAGTGTTGATAGTGGATCTACTCAAAATGAAGTCTTTGACAACTTCAATCTTTTTTTTCTCCATTTATCATGATGTTATTTATTGGTCCAGTGGTGAGGATTTTTGTTTTCTTTACACTGAGGTCCATATCCATGGCTTTGATCTTTCATTAGTAATTATTTTAAGTCTTCTTCATTTTCAGCAGGCAGTGTTGTATCATCTGCTTATCGCAGGTTATTAATGAGTCTTCCTCTAATTCTGATGCCACATTTTTCTTCATATAATCTAGCATCTTAGATTATTTGATAATTATACAGATTGAGTAAGTATGGTGAAAGAACACAACACTGGTGCACACCTTTTCTGATTTTAAATCATTCCGTGTACCCTTGTTCTGTCTGAATGACTCCTTCTTAGTCTATGCACAGGTTTCTCAGGAGCACAATTAAGTGTTCTGAAACACTTAATTCCTTGCAATATTATCCATTGCTTGTTATGATCCACAAAGTCAAAAAACTTTGCATAGTCAGTAAAGCACAGGTAAACGTATTTCTGGTATTCTTTGCTTTCAGCCAAGATCCATCTGTCAAAAATGATATCCCTAGTTCCACATTCTTATCTAAATATTGCTTGAGCCTGTGGCAGTTACATATCAATGTATTGTTGCAACCAATTTTGAAATATCTTTAGCAAAATTTTACTTTCATGTGATATTAATTATATTGTCTGATGATTTCCGCTTTCAGTTAGGTCACCTCTCTTTGAAATGGACACATGTATGGATCTCTTCCAATCAGTTGGCCAGGTAACAGTCTTCCAAATTTCTTGGCATGGATGAGTGAGTGCCTCCAGTGCCGCATAAGTTTGTTGAAAGATTTCAATTTGTATTCCATCAGCCTTGTTCTTTGCCAGTGTTTTCAGTGTACCCTTGGGACTTGTTCCGTCATGCAGTCCCATTGAATCTTGATCATATGCTACCTTTTGAAAAGGCTGAACATTGACCATTTCTTTTCAGTACAGTAACTCTGTGTATTCCTTCCATCTTCCTTTGAGAATTTGTACATCATTCAGTATTTTGCCGATGTTATGTTGTTGTTAGGTGCCTTCAAGTCAGTCCCAACTCATGGCAACCTTATGAACAATAGAATGAAACACTGCCCGGTCCTTGCGCCAACCTCACAATCATCGCTATGCTTAAGCCCATTGCTGTTGCCATTGTGCCAGTCTTTCTAAATGAGGGGTCTTCCTCTTTTTCGCTTACCCTAAATTTTACCAAGCATGATGTCCTTCTCCAGAAACTGGGTAATATGTCAGAAGTATGAGAGACCAAGTCTCACTATCCTGGCCTCTAAAAAAGCATTCTGGCTATACTTCTTCCAACACAGATTTGTTTGTTCTTCTGGCTGTCCATGGTACTTTTAATATTTTCCTCCAACAGCATAACTCAAATGCATCCATTCTTCTATGGTCTTCTTTTTCATTGTCCAACTTTCACATGCGTATGAAGTTATTTAAAATACCATGGATTAGGTCAGACACACCTTAGTTCTCAAACTGATATCTTTGCACTTTAAAGAAGTCTTATGTAGCAGATTTTCATAATACAATACATCATTTTATTTCTTGACTATTGCTTCCATGAGTGTTGATTTACTGGTCCAGTGGTAAGGATTTTGTTTTCTCTACATTGAGGTGTAACACAAAGTCAAGGTTGTAGTCTTTGGTCTTCATCAGTAAGTATTTTAAGTCCTCTTCACTTTCTGCAAGCAAGATTATATCATCTACATATCACAGGTTGTTAATGATTCTTCCTCCAACCCTAATGTCCCATTTTTCTTCATATAATCCAGCTTCTTGAATTATTTGCATAGCATACAGATTGAATAAATATTGTGAGAGAATACAACCCTCGCACATACTCCTAATTTTGAACCATTCAATGTTGCACTTGTTCTGTTCCAACAACTCCCTCATGGTCTATGTACAGGCTTCTCATAAGCACAATAAAGTATTCCAGAATACTCATTCTCCACAGTGTTGTCCATAACTTGTTATGATTCACACAATTGAAAGCTTTTATTGTAGTCAATAATGCACAGATAAACATCTTTCTGGTATTCTATTCTTTCAGCCAAGATCCATCTGATGTCAGCAGTGATATCCCTCGTTCCACATCCTCGTCTGAATCAGCCTTAAACATATGGCAGTTCCCTGTCAACATCCTGTTTCAGCCATTTTAAAATTATTTTCAGCAAAATTTTACTTTCATGAGATGTTGTTGTTGTTGTTAAGTGCCGTCAAGTCGGTTCTGACCCATAGCGACCCTGTACAGGGTTTCCGAGGTGTAAATCTTTACGGGAGTAGAAAGCCTCATCTTTCTCCCGTGGAGCGGCTGGTAGTTTCGAACCGCTGACTTTAAGGTTCGTAGCCCAATTCGTA